AATAGCAGGGACGAAAGTTTAACATTTACTCCCTGTGCTATTAGGGACGAAAGTACGTACTTTCGACCGAGGTAAACTTTAGTTCCTGCTATTAGGGACGAAAGTAAGTACTTTTGACCGATGTATGAAGAAAAATAGTATACACCACACGGCCCAGTAAACACAGGACTCGCGGGCCAGAGATGGCGAGAATACTTTTTTCCGAACTGCCGGATTCGGCCCGAAACATGGTTGCCGGCGCGGCGTGTAGGTAGGGCATGTCCGCCTGGCAGACTTTCTGCCGACTTACCGTAAAGCCGAGTCATTAGCGGGTATCAGCTAGTGGGTTACTCGGTGGCCCGCCACCCGCTTCCGTGCTTTCGGCAAGGTTACGATACGTTGCTTAATAAGTAAATTGCCCAGTACACACAGACTCGCGGGCCAGAGATGGCAAGAATACTTGTTTTCCAATCTGCCGGATTCTCACGATATATGGATGCAGGCGCTGCATCAGCTAGTGGGTTACTCGGTGGACCACCACCCGCTTCTATGCTTTCGGCATGGCTGGCGTATATCATACGGCTAACGTTCGGTTTTGATACCTTTTGCCGTTTTCTAACCGACAATGGGCCACTTGTGGTTAGTAGGGAAGTGATAGGGAAACAATTAAAAAAATATGGAAAAATATAAAAATCGATAAAAATATATTTGAACTTAACATGGTATTGCGCTAGAAAACAGATAAAATAAAATAAAATTTAACAAAAATAAAATATCAACAAAACTACACTCTACTTCAGGTACCTCCTTTTCTATAACATTTATATAAGAACCCTCCGAAAACCCATCAGTTTTGGGTAGTTCTTTAGGTATATTTAAGGGTATATTCTCGGGCATATTACTAGCTGTGTTGCTTGATATGTCTATACTATTAGAACAAGAAGGTTGGTCATTATTACTAGACACAGAACTTGTAGGTAATTGGAACGATGCATTATTTGTTAAATTGTCATCCGTTAATAAACAATCTTCAATTAAACATTTCATTTGTTCACTAAGCACACGACGTTTAAAAAATTGTGGCGTTTGCTTACTTTTTTAATAAAAGACATATTGACTTAATTCTTTTAAGAAATATCCTAATTCAAAAATAAACGATAAACCTGAAAATACCCTTAACAAACCTACCTAAGACTAACAGTGAAATGGCAAAATATGCAAAATATAATAAATTATGTTGTTTCAACTTACTCTTCACTTGATTCTGCCATTTTACAAACTATAATATAACCTAAAACTACACACAAAACTAGTTTGTCACAAAAAACACAATTTTCAAACAAAAACCGGCACCAAAATACGGTAAGTACCTATATCGTTTATAGCACAATTCACAATGTGGATTGTGGTTTATAGTATATGGATAATTTATAAACTATTTTCTTTAAAGGAAATCAACATAACACTGTCCTGAACAATCCTTCAAAAGCTTTTCTGGAATATAACCTAACATTGAAACTTCGTTCACGTGGTTCAGCTAAACTACTAAAGTAAAGTGTTTGCGACCTCTATGATCTGTGTTTGGGACTACGAATGCCAAAGACCTAAAATGAGGAGAGCGGGTATCAGCGTACTTAACGAAGACGGCCCGAAAGTAGCAAATAATCCAGCCCGTTCATGGGCTATACTTTTTCGGATAGCATTCGGGCGCGAAGGGTGGATCCCGGTTACTGGTTTGCCGAAATCGGGCCGTATTTTAACCGAATTTGGAAAAATGCCTACTGGGGAGTTTGTATGCGGGCCGTAAGTGATCCGGACACGGCAAATTATGCCACCAGTCTCCCGATAGTGCCGAATGTTGGCCGAATGTTTCCCGAGAGTTCTGTGTTTACTGGGGGGCCAAACGTTAAAATTCAATTTCGGCCCTTGTAGTGTAATATACTATTTTATAAACGCACCATTTAGGATTTTGAACGTGTTACCCCGAAACAAAGATTGAAAAACTGGCTACGCCACGTCGGACCTTGACCTTTAAGCTTTTAAATTTAAATCACACCGCGCACGTGGAATTGTGCTTGACCTTTTAACTTTAAAACCTTATAGTTAAACCGTTGAGTGAAGAACCTTAATCAATGGTTAAACATAGACCTTGTCTATTAGCTATTAGTATATTTTAATATTATAATAATTGTTATAATTGTTACTACAATATAACAACAATTAAAACAAAATTTTAAATATAAACATTATAGTTACTCGGTGTCGGACGTAGTGTTAATTTAAATAGTCACGTCCGACGTGGCTCTATATTAGGGTGTCTAATATTTTCCAAGTTATTATTTTTTACTTGGGTATCATCTAAATCATTTGTTTACAGTCTAAAAACAATAGAAAAAGGATTTTTTCCGATATCGTTTAACCCTTTCTAAATGACATTTTAATGACAAAAATAAAACGAGAAATGCAACAATAAACTAGAAAATTAAAAAAAAAATTGTACGCTCTGTAAAAAAGTTTTTAAAATTAAACCATCAATTTAAATGTTATCGTATGTCAAAATTTAAAATAAATTAAAATAAAAAGTATTTTCATCTTTTTTATGAATTTATAAGCGGTATATTTTACTTAAGTATCATCTAAATTATTATTATAATTCCATGTCGTTTAATACTTTTAATATTTTTTTGACACTCGTTCAAAAAAATGTTGAACATAATATTAATGAACTGCTTTATATATTATAATAAAGTTAATTATTTCCATTGGTTTAATGAAATTTTCATTTTTCCTAAGTAGAGAAAACTGTAAGTAGGTATCATTGTTTCATGAACAGATATCATAAATAAAGAATAAAGCTTCAATAAATAATTATTATAATTATTATTATAATGAATAGTAATGTACATTACTGTAATGTACATGTGTCTATGTTGAATAGTCATCGGTTGCATGATATTATGAAATATAAACTTAATATTAAAGAAAGTTTCTTTGATAGTATTAATAAATAGAGACGGGTGTTTCCACGTCAGATTTGAAAAAATAATAAAAATTGTGGATTTTATAGGGGGTATCATTTTTGGAACTTTTCAGATCAGAGGTTTATTGTTTTGCTTATATCTTGGGTCCTAATTGACCGAGTAATTGACCTAGAGGGTTGGTCGACGTGCATGAAGAGAAATATTTTAGTATCTAATAATTACTACACAGTTGAGTAAAATTGGGACAGCTTGCGTTTTTAAGAGGTGCGTGCTTTTTTCTATAGTAATAATTCTTAAACTTGAATATTACCTGACAGGTAAGTAGTAATAACAAAACTAATATAAAATTGTACCAAAACGTCTTAATTTTATTTTATTTTAATAGAAAAGTGTTTAGGTTTGTATTGTTGCGGAAGTCACATCAAGATTTGGATGATCAGCTGCAGCATCTGGCTAACCGAAAAACTAGCATACAACCTCTCCTGCTGCTCGTTGGTAATAAGTTATCACTGATAACATTATTGGAGTACAAGAGATTTATGTGTAAGTTGACGGTATGAGATATTCTTTTACAACCATGGTTGAGTGTAGTACTTAATAAGCTCTATTTGGCCTTGCAGAAAAGTTTTAAATTTCCTTAAAAAAACAGGTTTTTCCCCAATTTTTCCGCATAAATACCTAATATTAAAAAAACTGTTACTAATTTATTTCTATGTTTCTAAAATCCTAATTCAAAATAAATGCTTAGACTAACAGTTATCTAAAATAATCATAATGATTAAAATTTACTTTTATATGTTGAGAACACTTTTAAATAGTTATTTTTTACTACGTAAATAGTTAAAGTTTAACTAATTTAAGATTAGTCACCATATTTGACTATTTCTGACAGTTAAAAGTAACTAATTTCTTTAATCGTTTCAGCCAACAACAAAGTATTATTTGAATTAAATGCATATACCTCTCCATGGTTAAATGACCCATAAAACAAATAAAGATGCAAAAAGTTTAGCTCAAAACAGTAACACAAATAATATATTAAGTAAACTTTAAAATATTATGAACAATATTTATTGACAAATAAAATTTATTTTTATAAGAGCGGCTGACAGCCGACTGGTTATGAGGTTAGGTTGACAAGCTTGATTTCAAGTGACAGACGCGTCTAGACGTGAGTTCAATCCCAGGCTGGGTCAAAACTTTTTTAAATTCAAATTTACTAATTTAACTATTTCATTCAGTGGAATTTGACTAATTATTAGTGACTGCTTTTTCGCTACGACAATTAGTCAAATATGACTTATAATTAGTTATTTTTGACTAATTCATTTTAAGAGAGTACAGTTTTTCTTTGGTTAGTTCCAAATAGCATATTATATATCAAGTTTTATAAATGACATTTTAAATACGAGTTTAAGTAGGCTCTAGCGAAGCTTGCGAGCGAGTGTTTAATAAAAACGAGTGTCTATAGAAGTTTATATACACGAGTTGCATTATACTTTATCTATGACGAGCACAAAACAAAATTTAAGGCCAATTGTATTTGTTAAAAATTTGACATTTGTCACCCTAATTTAACCTCACTATTTCCCAATTTATATTAAAGTAAGGTGACCAGATTCTGTCAAAAAATAGGGGGACATTTTGTGTAAATTAACCTTAATCACCAATAATTAAGTAACGTCAAATTTACAATTTGCATTGTATCATTGTGCCAATTTTGCAATTAAGGTAAATTCATACAAAATGTCCCCCTATTTTTTGACAGGATCTGGTCACAGCCCGTGACTAAACGGCTTAAAAGTCACTGTATCTAACTTCACCTCATGTCCAAAACGCCATAAAGTCACAGCTGTCAATGTAGGAGTAGATTAACAATATTACGCAATAGTTAATCCTACAAACCATTGAAAAGGGCAGTTTAAAGCTACTTTTTTGAACACAAGTGGAGTAATTACAGTTTATTTAGTAGGGAGACTGCTTTAGATTTTAAATATTAATACAGCATTCTTTAAGTTTTATAAGATAAGTAAGTATTACCTGCTTTACATGGATCCATATCCAAATCATTTGAAGTTTTCTTGGGAAATGTTTTGGTAAGGAGATCTTCAATTGTATATTTTTGTTTATATTTTCTAATATTATTATCACTGCTGATTAGAATTGCACTAGTCGCAATCACTAGACAAGTTACTGTCAATTTTGTATAGTTTATCATTTTTAAAGTCCACTGCATAAAATAAATTTAATTATATTTCCATTTTTTATTTTTTTATCTTGCACAAAGATGTGATTACGTCTTGTTATTAAAAATAAAAAAATTACATTATCACTGTTATTCTCTTCTTTGTTTAAATATCACGTCTTTTTTAAGTTTATCGGCATATTCTTATTTATTAATAAAAACTAAAAAATAATGTAATTATAGATCGAGCAATTTTAATATTCTTTTTATTTTGCACTTAAACATAAATTTAAGTATTTAAACAAACCTTATGTTATAACAGAAATAAAATTAATTGTACTCACCTACAAAGATATGCATTATTCTATAAAAACATAATATAAGTAACAAAATACCTTCCTGTATACACATTCAAAGCAGAGATCGGAACGCAAACTGAGAAGAGATTAAATAAAGGTATAACTTGGTGTGGGGTACACTTATGGCCTTTGAGAAAGCTCAATAGGGTTTGTTTGTGTTAGTTTAACGTAAACATGCATAATTCTAAATTTATCTATTTATTTCTGACCTTCTTAACTATTTTAAAACAGCGCTGCTCTTTCTATTTGATTTATTAACTATAGGTATGCACAATGTACATTGTACATGTGTGTATTTTAAATCTGATATGAATTTAGGTTTAAATTTTTAAGAGGTAGTTTTAAAATTATAAACTTTTTACAACTTTAATAAATTATTATTCCTTAATTATTTCAAATAATAACTTATTACAATTATTAATAGTACATTATTATACGAGAGATAATGCAGGCGTTATGCTAAAGACGTAAATCAACCGAATAAAAAATGCGCAATATTTTGAGTGTAATACTATTGATTTTCCTCTCCAATTAAATAAGTAGTATAAGGGACATTCCATAAAAATTCGGATATGAAAAAGATATAATAGGCTATGCATCTTGTTTTTAAGCAATGACTTTACTTTATTTATTTGTCTTGCAAATTTAATTTAAAAACTGTCAATTTTTCACGAATTTCTATTTTCATTATTTGATTTTTTACAGAGCTTTAAATTTAAAATTTTACGTTTTTTGCCTTTTTCAGCTAAACTATTGAAGTTATACGAAAAAGTCAAATGACAATTTTTTGACTTGTCTGATGGACCACAAAAAAGTTTAAGGCGAATTTTTTGTATCGTCAATATTCTAAAAGTTACAGACGTATAAAGTCATCATTTTTGTATTATTAACTTTAAATTTAAAGCTCTGTAAAAAATCAAATAATGCAAATGGGTCAGAATTTCTCAAACGGGCCACCTGAATTAGGTCAAAATTAGTTTTTGTTTGTAGATACATTTTTTTGATAGTATTTTATATCACTAACACAAATCCTAAAGGATTTTGTAAAAAAAAATTTTTCAATTGACATATTCATGATATTAAAAGTCAAAGTTTTTAATAATTAAAAAATAAAAAAAATCATTATGGCTGAACTAATTATCCGATTCCAACGATATAACTAGCGTTGGAATCTTGTTTTGACATAGATTCTTTGTTATTTTTTTCAATTGTCCTATTTTCATTTAGGTCGATTTTTTTTTGTTTTTTTTATACCAAATTCGGAAATAATTGCCTTCTGCGCCAGCTATCGACTCGAGAAAAAAAACACATATACTCCAATCATTTCTCGAAATTATGCTGCTGAGAAAAAAAATGGCCCGCAGGTTGACAAAAAGTTATTCGTCCTTTTGTGGCCGCGCGCGGTGTCAGCTCACGCTCCGAACCGTGTACGCTGTACGCGCTTGTGACGCGACGTCTTACGGTGGTCTGGAACCTGCGGGCCATTTTTTTTCTCAGCAGCATAATTTCGAAAAATGATTGGAGTATATGTGTTTTTTTTTTCGAGTCGATAGCTGGCGCAGAAGCCAATTATTTCCGAATTTGTTATAAAAAAAACAAAAAAAAATCGACCTAAATGAAAATTGTACAATTGAAAAAAATAACAAAGAATCTATGTCAAAACAAGATTCTAACGCTAGTTAAATCGTTGGAATCGGATAATTAGTTTAGCCATAATGATTTTTTTTTATTTTTTAATTACTAAAAACTTTTACTTTTAATATCATGAATATGTCAATTGAAAATTTTTTTTTTACAAAATCCTTTAGGATTTGTGTTAGTGATGTAAAATACTATCGAAAAAATGTATCTACAATCAAAAACTAATTTTGACCTAATTCAGGTGGCCCGTTTGAGAAATTCTGACCCAAATAGAAATTCGGCTTAATAAGATTTTTTTGTCCAAATTTAATGCTTTGTAAGAATTAGTCATGGATTTTATGAAAAAAAAAATTCTTCCTAGGTTGCAAGAATAAATAAGGTAAAAAAGTCAGTTTTCTGTGTTATTTAAGCGGCAAAACTTCAGATTCGATGGAGGACCTCTTAAAATTGAAATTATGAGCTCCGCTTTTAACAGAATATTTGTTCGGACATATTCTACGATATTTTGGGTGGAAAGCAAGCAAAAAAAAATATCGAGTTTTTTTGGCACACCCTAATGTATTGTCGTTTTACCATGATAAAATAAAACCAAATAATGTCAAAAATATACAATATAAGTAAAAAATTATTTATTATGAGCAACATAACTTGGTTTTTAAAAATTTACATATACAGAGTGTCCGGAATCTCCCTTAATGGGAATTATGTATTCAGGTTTTTCCGAGATCTGCTCCGTGTTGTCGGTTTTTTGCTCTGACGACATTTCGGTACAATCTCATGTACCATCTTTAGGTCTTATCTGCTGGGCTGCTGTTGCTGCTCTGCTGCGAGTTAGACGTGGAGTGACGTTGCCGCTGATCGTTGTTTATATACCCTATTAGCTTTCCGCGTCATTAATTTGTTTATTGATCTTGTTAATCTGCGTGGCGTTTTGGTGGTTGTAAGAGCTCTGTGTACCGTCTCTTGTGTTAAGGTTTCTTGGACGTTTTAATATTTCAATGGCTTCACGGATGGTACATTTGGTCCTGTGTTCGATGCTACCCAAGACCCTTGTTTTTTCAAAGTCAATTTCATGGGACGTTTTTCGGACGTGTTCAGCTAAGAAAGACGTTTTTTCTTGTTTTAAGACTGCGTTACCATCTTCTTCGCGTCGAACGTTGATACGTCTATTTGTCTATCCCACGTAGCTTCCGTTACAATTCTTACAAGAAATTTCATACACCCCTTGTGCCTCCAACTCTATTTTTGGTTTGGCGTTTGGAAGTATTTGTCCGATCTTTCTTGGGGCTGTAAATGTTTTCTCAATGTTATGTTTTTTGAGAACTTTGCCTATTCTTGCCTATCTTTCAGTTGTCCCTTTGACGTAGGGAATAAAGGCCTTCGAAGTTGGTTTGTTGTTCTCGTCCTCTGTGGTATTTAACCGGCATCGTGGTCTTAGAGCCTTTTTTATGATGGTTTTGGAGCAGCATTTCGGATCGCGTGACTAATGTCTTAATAACGGGTGGTTGTGAGACTGGGCGTTGAGGTAGCGGTTCATGTGTGTTGGTTTTCTGTGGACCGCACTGAAAAAATAAGCTGTTGAAACAACAAAAAAAATATTAATTCAACTCTTTATGCACTTTAAATACAAGCAATGGTTTTTGCACGTTTACTTAACCATCTAAAAATGTCAAATTGTATTATTTAATTGAACAACAAATATTAGTCAAATGAACAAAATGAGAATATTTGTTCTAATCTGCTAATCTGGTTCATTAAACATTCTTGATAAGTCGGAGTAATATTTCGAAAATGGTTGTGCTAACATTTTTAAGATGTTAAGATAAATTTCTTGAAATTTCCAGGTAACCTTTTTAGCATATTCACTTAACACCAATAAAATGTTAAATTAAAATAATTTGCGCTAATGTTGGGTTAATTAAATTATGGAATTAATATAAAGAGAAAGAAATGAACCTACCCTCGCCAGAGTTTTTGTTTTGAGTGCGTTCCACCTACTTCAAATACCCACCGACATACAGCTGATTTCACCTATATTGTTATAGTTATCACTCACTGATAATCAGTGTCGGGCAATTTGCTGTAGTGGAACACACCGAAAACAAACGGCTACCTGAGCTTATATACTCCTATCGTAAGCCAACTGAGGCGAGATGTAAGCACATCACGTGATTAACACCGTCTAATGACGTGGCGTGGGTGTTCGAAGCGCCCTTCAAGGCAATTCAAAATTAACAAATTTTAAAGTAACATTTACAATTTGTTAAATGAACAAATTTAATGTTTTGGATTTAAAGAGCAATTAAACGTTAATTTAATATTTTTTTTAGGTAATCCTAAAAATTTTAGTATTTGATTCAACTAATTCCAGCTATTAAATCAAAATAGGATAAACATTTTAATTCAAAAAATTAGTTTATGTTTAATCAATATTTTAACTGTCAAATGAACAAATAAACTTTGACAAACCCTGACTATTGCTTTGATACCAAAATATCTATATTATTCTACAATAAGAGGTTTTGAAACCATAGAGGATGCGGCCAAGGGGAAAATTTGGAGTTTTTTGATTTAATAAATATATTTCGACTTTACCCCCTTTTATGTGCCCCATTAGCGTAAGGGCAAGTCAATTTAAATATATTTAGTTACTTTATGGAAGGCCAGGGTAAATACATCCGGCAGGGTAGAGACATCAAAATCAGAGTAGATACTTTTTTGACTTTAACATAATAAAGCTATAAATACAATCCAACATTTATTAAACATTCTAGTTAACTTATAATCAGAGTAACATTTTTGTATTACAGCCTTTTTTAAACCTAAAACTAGAGCTTTTTAGTGTATGTAACAAAAAATATAAGTAATTCAGGTAATAAGTAACATCGCCCATTCAACAAATAATAAAGAATTCTTATAACTAAGTAGACTAGCGCCTTTTAAGTGAAAATAAGACTTATAGTATAGTATAAAGTAAATAGTATAGAGTATAGGTATTATAAAAATTATTCTGATTATTACTATAGTGATAATTAGAATAATTTTTATAATACCTATACTTTTACTATAGCTTCCATTAAATCTAAATATTTTACTCATTATATAAACTAAAAAAAATAACACAATAAATTAAAAGGTATTCTTTGGCCTTTAAACAAAAAGCAATGATTAAAAAAATAAAAAACTATCTGGATCTCGTCATCTTCTTTTAAACCCGTACACATAGCCACGTATCGGAACTTTTTGTAGTAGTTTAAAGAGAATGAAGTCGCCGAACGTTCTTTATTTTTTTTTGCGTTAACGGCTGTCGTTCATCCTCTGTCCGAGGCTTGTCACATTTTGGTGTTATATGATTTGTTCACTGTCATCTGGATTCTCTTCCTCATTCTCGGACTCTGAATCTGGTCCGTAAACATCCTCAACTCGGAGACGAGATTTGTTAGGAGATGAGTATATCATGACACCAATTTTGAAGTGAACACAATTTATATTTCCATCACAAAAGCAGCTTAAAGACTTAATTTTTAACTTTTTTGGATTCTCCATGTTCCATGACACCTGATGGACACGTAATGTACCAGGGAAAGTCTTTATGTATTCTTTACCACCAACAAACAAAGCATCTTTCTCTTGAATATTTTTGTCGTCAATAAGAAGAACATTGATGCTAGGACAGTTTTTCTGGATAGCATCTGATAATTGGCTCAGAGTTGCTATATCACTGCCTTTAGCCACCAATCGGTCTGCTGTTCTCTTACATACAGCACCAACACCATCAGGAGCCCCCTTACCGTGTCCAGCTTCATGGTAATTCCAAGTAAAGCGTATTAGGGTCGGGTAAAATTCTGTTAAATGAGTGACAAGAAAGTAAAACATGTATTTGTTGCGATATTGTGTTACAGGTCCATCACTCCAAAAATGCAGTATTTTCACTTCGGGTGGCAAGCTGTTCAAAATTGCACTGTTCAAAATCAAGCCTTTTGAAATACCTAATCAGAATTAGTTAAGGAAAAATAAGGTAATATGCTTAAACGAGTAAAACAATTTACCTTCTCGTTTATTAGGCAGAAACTAATGCCTTAGTTCTATGGTGAATTCACTAACTTCTAGATAAATATTCATACTTTACTTAATAAACTTGTCAAATTTAAAAAGAAAGGCAGATTACCTAAATATTTAGTCAAAATCTCAATTACTTTTAGGTACGACAATTTTGCTTTTAATTTAGGTAATTCTTCAAAATTATTATGGCAAATTATTGAACTAATTTAGGTAAATTCCTTTAAATATTAGTGACTTACTTGCAATCGGCTACGATCGCTAATACCGACGTTTTAAGATAAATATTCGTGCCTATATTGTCCACCATAATGCCAAAATCAACGAAAGCTTAAAGACCGCGTTGTGTGCTATTGATATAACAACATAGTTAACAATTATTGTGATATAAGTGAACATTTTGTAGTGCTATAGTTAAGTAATCTAAACTAAATGGAATTTCCCATTGACCCCAATGCATTGACCATGCAGGGTTGGGATTATTTAAAGGGTTCCGGTACTACATGTAGTACCGGAACCGCCGTTGTTAATTCGCCTAGGACACAAAGATAAAGGAGTCCTAACATGGAAGAAAATTCCTATCCTAGGATTTTCACTAAAAATATATATAATTTGCCTGAAAACTTAGCTAAAATCTACCTAAAAATTTAAGCGAATTGCCTTAGAAACAGGAAATTTATTCTTTTATTCTCAGGCAATATCCCTTACGATCTAAGGTGTATTATCTTTGAAACCTAAGTAATTTTGCTTAATTAATTTTATCATTTTCTTTAAAAATATCAGTTAAAGAATTCACTAATTTAAAAGGGGAATATTCCTCTGAATTCATTTTAAGCAGTTTGCCTTAAAAAATCAATGGTCTTATATAGTCTAATATTTTAGGTAAAAAATAGCTAAAATTTTGAACAGTGTGGCTGTAAGTGTGCCCATATAGCTGGAGGTGAATGTAACAAATTTTGTGACATAGAACAATAGCATGTAGTCTTTACTTCACCTGATGAATCCTCTTTCGTGTAAGTTACAACCGTGTGCAGACTTATTTGTTGACGCGAACCTCCGAAATGCATTGCCTGAATCTCTTCTGCGTATTTAGTTAAGTAATTCTCACTGAAATCCATGTGAATCATAGCTTCTTTTTCTGTCAAAGTTGTCTTTTTAATTTTAAAAGCAGAATGCTGGTGCACTATGTTCCGTTCATGGTGAAGAAAATGCTCCAAGTTGTGTTCAAATTGCATGATTAAATCACGAGGATAAATCTGAATTGACTTTTTTAAATACTTTGTCACCTTCCTTTCCTTATGCGTTTTCGGATCAGTTATATTAACGGTGACGGATTCCCATTTTTTGTAGACAATTTGGATACTATTATTGAATTCTTTGTATAAAAGTCTTTTATTTTTACAAGTTGCGCATTCTCGTAAGAGACACTGCTCGTTATACCTATTGCAACAAATTATTTTAAGCAGATTTTGATGGTTTGATATAGATATAATTTTAACTTGAAATAGAGCCGCAAGAATTAGATCCATATTAGCGTGAGTAATGCAGAGACAAGTGTCACGTTTGTCACAATTCGGGTGTACTATCCAAAATGGCCTTAGGCGACAGAATAAAGAATATGAGATTGTGATATTGCACTTCTTCATGAGAGATATGTGGAGATTTTTTAAAGTATCTAAAAGAACTCTCTTTTGTTTACGGTCTCCCTTCTTCGTCACATAATCTCTTTTACCAGCACATAACCTCGAATTAGAATCATCTTCAAGAAAATTTATAATTTTTCTTTTTGTTATTTCATAGCTTGCTTTCACTTTTCGTTTAGTTTCCATCAATCCTACCTTTCCAAATTTTCTCAAAGGTTTCATATTTTTTTCGTTCTGAAATATGCCATATTTTTTTACCAATTTTCCACTAATAACTCTTTTAAAAATTCGTTTTTCCTTTTCATTTGGAAAAGCAGAAAAATTTTCTTTCAATTGTTGATCAAGTACTTCTGCAAATAGTAATTTTTTCTTTATTGTGGGTCTGGCACTTGGAGAATTCATCACTTGATCTACTTTCTTGTTAGGTGTAAGTTCTTTAGGCTTTTGTAATCTTTGTAATCTTTTTTTACAATTTGTTAATTTAATCTTTAGATTTTTTACTGCTTCATTTTTTTTTTTATTATTTAAATATCTCTCTTTTCTTGCTCGATTTGATTTAATTTTAGCAGCTATAGCTCTTCTATTAACATTTCCTGGAGGCATTTCAACATCATCATTTGAAGTAGATGGTGTTACCGGAACATTTTGAAGGGCAATTCGTTTCCTACGCTCTCTTGCTTTCTTCTTCCATAACTTTCGAGCCTTACGTTGCTCTCTGGGAGTCATTTGGTCGACAGTTTTTACAATTCCTTTTTCCTTTTTATTTAAATATTTTTTCTTTTCTTTTTGTTTTTGCATTTCACACTTTTCGGGATCATTTTTAATTTTTTGATAGCGTAATCTCTCTGCCTGGCGCTTCTTCTCTAATCGTTCTTCACGTGTTACCTTATTGATGGGTGACATGATCTGTAACAATATCATGGGCAACAATATAATAACAATATATTATTAAAGTAGGATCATAAGCTACGTACACACATAAAAAACATATGACGGATAAACTAAAAACCTCGTATATTTTTTAACCATAATAATAATAATAATAATAATAATAATAATAATTAAAACGTATTTTGAGAACGTAATAGAAGTTATTTATTATCTGAATTAGTCTGTATCCACATTATCTCCCCTGGTCAGTGAGTATCTCCCCTGGTAGTTATCTTGCCAGGGGAAATATGACAGGGGAGAGACGTTTTCTTAACAAATTCAAATTTTTAAACGGACATAAGTTAATTTTGGGTTAATATTAATATCACACCTTAACTATTTCAGTACTATTATATATATGCAGTAAAAGCAAATAAATTAAGTGAATTTTATAAATTTTATGACTTACCAGTGGAGAGACACAATGACTGTACGCAACCTCTGCACCGCACTGTTGCGTCGCGCCGACTAACAAATGACAGCGGATTAACGCCTCGTGTGTTTAGTATCACTATCTTTATGTTAATGCGTGTCCTTGAGCACAACTCTAAACATAACCGGCTAATATTTCTGTTTGTATTAGTGGACTGAAATTAGCCAGGGTACAGTGTTGTAATGTATCTAGTTACAAGTAACTAGATGTATCTACTAGTATCTACTGTAGTATCTAGATACTTTTTATGTATCTGTTTGTGTAACTAGTTACCTATCCCAATCTAGTAACTATAACTGTAACTAGTTACAAATTCTAAGTAACTAGGTGTGTTAAGATACAAAGATACATTTTTAATTAAACTGCGACTATTATTTATTGAGACCAGGAAAACACGTCAACTTCCACTTCTGACACAATTTTTAATTTCTGAACGCATCCAAAAGTATGTCCATATAATATATGGTCATACTGATATTATTATTATTATTATTTTTTAACGAATATACTTCCGTTGAGTAAAGAAATATACTAAACTGGTTATAAAAGGTTTTAAAAACCGTGGTAGATACAGTTTTCTGTAATCTGCACGTTTGACAGTTAAGGTTTGTTTAAAATTTAAATTTAAAGAATCTTGTTACAAAAATGATATATATATATAAAAATAAGTACTTATATTAAAAATTCCCTTTTATTTCTATTTTAAATTTTTAAAGCAAAAAATAATTTGTATGTATCTTAAAGTATCTAGATACTTTTTGAAGGTAACTGTATCTGTAACTAGTTACTGCAATAAAATATGTATCTGTATCTGTATCTAGCTACAAATTTTGGTAAGTAACTGTAACTGTAGCTAGATACTGAAAATATTGTAACTGTTACAACACTGCCAGGGTAGATACTCAAAAAAAGCGGGACAAAACTGAATTTCCAAAATTATTAAATATAAACAAATATTTTTAAATTTTTCATTTAAAATACTTAAGTATACTTGTTTAAATTCATATTAAATATACTTTAAATTGTCGATTGCGACAAAGAAGGTATGTACTGTGTGCGTTTTTAACTCAAAACGTGAAGGGGACATGCCAGGGTAGAGACTTTTTTAGACTTAAATATGAAATTTCGAGAAAATGTTCTTGAATTGGGCTTTTAATCATAATGCTATTTATAAAACACATTAAGATGCTTCGATTTATTGCATAACATGACAACACATTGAATAAAAAATCCATTTTATAATGATTGCCGCACACATTACCTCTTATCGTAGAATTACCTATATATAGATCTATAGATTATTCCAATAGGTTTTTTGATAAAACAACATTTTCAAAAATGACATTTAGGCAAACGTTAACTCAACTACATTATTTTTTTCGGTGCGTGAGCCCTAGTTTGCCATTATTTTTCTTGATTATGAGGACATCCAGAAAGGGTAATTGGTGTTTTTTCTGGGTTTCCATTGTGAAATTGATCTTTTTGTAAATTCCGTTGAAATGGTCCAGGAATTTCTTCAGTTCCCCTTTTCCGTGAGTTCAGATGATAAATGTGTAATCGATGTACCGTATCCATATCTTCCATGAATAAGTTGGCTATTGCTGCCAATATTGGGGAGCCCATTGGAGCACCCTTGATTTGTTTGCTCTCGTCGTTGTATATGAAATACGTGTTCTTGAGGCAGTGTTTGGTTAGCTCTGCGCAATCATCTGTAATCATCTGTTTTTAACCGTGTCCACTGCGCTTCGTTTATATCTGCATTTGTCCGGGATCATCTGCAAACGTCTGCTTACGTCTGGTTTTATCCGCGATTACCTGCTTTTTTTCATCTATTTTTGTCGGGTTTTGTCTGAAAACGTCTGGTTTTATCCGCAAGAATCTGCTTATACCCGCAAACGTAGGCCTAGTCTAATTTCACCCGCAAACATATTTTTTTATCACTCTCGAACATCTGGTTTCATCCGCAAAGTCGCAATTTTAAATCGGGAAAAAATTGATTATGCTGTATCACTTTGAATTTTAAAAATATCCGAATTTTGGCTAAAAAATCGATTTCCTTTCGATGAAAGCAAGATTTTTAAAGAGAATACCATTATCAATGTATATGGTATTTTTTTTAGTTTAATAAAGACCCATAGCAACATTACCAACCTTGCTTAAATTAAAAGTTTAAAAAATTATACATAAGAATTTGAATGTGCGCATATCGAAAAAATGGTTTTTAGTCTACATCGCAAAAACAAGAGCTGATTGAGCAAAATGATGTTCATTTTTGGATTAAGCGTACTTAAAGTACTCTTAAAAAGTTGTTGGTTGCCATGCACCAAACAGAAATTTTATTTTTGTCGGCCTGTGTTATATTATCATATTGCTATTCTCCTACATAAATGATAGGTTTGGACTGTGTAGAAATGCAAATACAAATTGACAGCAACAAACAACAACAATGTGAAACATTAAGTATAATATAACAAACAACAATAATAAATGGTAGTGGTAAATAAAATATATAAATAACAAATGGTACAGTAGTGGACAACGGTAATGCAATAAAATTGGTGTACAGTCATAAATCATAAATATAATTAGGTATGATAAAGTTTGTAACGTTACAAATAGTAACGCTACATGATTTATGTAATAGAAATAAGTTAACCACTGTATTTATAATTATACTTATAAGTATAATTTAGTTTATTGAGTACACACCTGGTCACACTGTATATCGCATATCGGCTTGAGAGTATTGTATTTTTTATGTTTTGATTATTATTTGGGGGTCTTTAGGTTGCTGGATTCATGGTGTTGATTTGCCATGCCTAAAAGAGTACGTTTATTTTAGTTTTATTGGTAACCAAGAAGATCTTGGTACATTTTTTAAGGTTATTTACTTGTATTTTATGTTTTCTATTTGGTCTTATAGGCTTGTTAAAAATTATTAAAGCGGCAAGGTCACAAACTTCAGGTTCGGTGTCATTATCTGTCACACTTCATTTGTGGGTTTGTTCCGCAATCTTTGTTTTAGGGTTTTGGTGTGCATAGGGAGTGTTATTGTTTTTTGTTTTTTTAATAGTTATTTGGTTGAATTCACTATGCTATTTAAGTCCAGTGCTATTACAGTATGTTGTAATTTAATTGTGATTCAATTTGAGGTGATTAATGATTTTATACGTTGGTAACATTGGGTCGCGGAGACGGCGCACTTAGGCTTCAAGATTGTTCGAGAGGCTTCTAGACTTGAGTGGGGAGGTCGACGGCGCACAGTGGGAGGAATTTCAAAAATCGCGGACAAAATTAGGGACACATTATTTTAAGCCATTTTAAGGTTTATGCGGTGGTAAATTTATGCTAAAATATTAATATTAATAAAATGTTTTAATTATGTACACAAATTCACAAATTTGTTTTAAACAATTTGGAAAAGTTCGATATTGTCGATCCTCCATTTTCCAAACACATAAATTAATAAACAAATATATTACGCAATATTACCTAAGCTAAAAATAGAAAAATAAACAAAAAAACAATAACAATTAAGGAATATTCGAGCTAAATCACTTATATACATTTTTTTCGATACATCTTTTCTTTGTAAATTTCGCATCTTTTGCTTTATTTATATCGACTACTAGAGTGACTTGGTCCAAAAAAACCCTATATTGATGTTAAAATAACATTTAAAAGTTGACTTTAAAGCAAAACCGGTTAAATCCACGTTTTTTACCTACTCTCTAAAAATGAATTAGTCAAAAATGACTAATTTAATAGTTATTATTGGCTGCTTTTTTACTTGTACCATAGTTAACCATGGAATATAATGGTATCCCAAAATTTAACATCCAATTCTTATGTAAAATTGTCCCCTGAATCCGAAAATGCCATAAAAAATTATGAAAGTGGAGCAGTTTTTGAAATATAGTCAATTTCATATTAAATGAAAAATTGACTATATCTCAAAAACTGTTTTACTTTTTTAACTTTTGACGATATTTTCGGATTCAGGGGACAATATAAGATTTATCAATAATATCCAGGTTATCGGTTATATACTTTAAAAGTTTGTTGTGTTTTTCTTTGTTACTAACATTTTTAATAAGTTCATACAACTCCTTATTAGTCGTGGCATTTCTACTTAAAAAGAAGCAAGTTATTCAAATAAACATGTAATATTTATATTAATATTAATATTATAACTTACCAAATATTATTATAAAGCGTTAATAAACACAAAAACACGATGAGATTGTATGTATGATTGACTTTCACTCGAAACTGACGTTTTAGAACTAGCAAAAGGCAACTATGATGACTTATAAATATTCGACTAATATGATAAATTCATGGACATATTTCATATTCTGCTGACCAAACAGGCAAAAAAAGGCAGCTTAATTCTTTTGACTTTAAAAAAAGAAAATTTGATGAACGTTCTGGTACCAAATACTTTGCCTCACACCAAGGCACACCTAACGAAATATCTTGTGGTTTGTAAAAGATTTATCTACTTTTAAAGGCGATGGTAAAAGGTTTATAAAAACCGTATTTATGGTAAAATTTTCAATTTTAGACTTTTATATGAAAGAACAAGGATAAGGAATGTAGTAAAATATACCATCATTTCCTTTCATTAATTACGCAAAACAAAAATGGGCTTAAAAAACTTACATACAATTTGCTCTAAAAAATCGACACGAACAATGTGACTTTTTAAGCAAGTTTAAGCGGGCATTTTATCATAAAAAAATATATTTCTTTTAAAATCATAATCTCTGTGCTTTCTTTTTTTATAACTCGTAATTTAAAATTTACTATGTTGATTTTTACAAAATAGGGTTTTGTCCGCGATTTTTGAAATTCCTCCCAGTGTGCGGCGTCTTTGCCAGCGTGCTTTCAGAAAGACGATCTGTAAAGTCTAAAGGAAGTTTTATTACGATCTGTAAGTAAGTAATTAGTTATTCCGTACTATTGAATACTGGTAGTTATCGCACGTAGTGAACGTAAAAGATGCAGATGGCCTCTTTTTGGGTTTTTAAAAGTAGCATGGTGAGTTTAATCTAATTGATTTTCCATAATCATTGATTTTCTAAGTCATCCTATCTCTTAGATAC